AATCTTATCTGTACGAATCCAAGGCATAGTATATGCATTAGGAGGATACAACAAGTCCCAATGCGACAATAGTCTATGATATTCAATAATTTCATTGTTGATATTTATTTGCTCGTTTATATTTGTTCCGTATGAATAGTTTTCTTCAGGAAGCCACATTCATGCCATTAAACAAGACTCGGACTAATTTGCTGGAGGGTTAATTTTTTTCTTTCATTTATGTCTGTGATAAAATCCTTTGTCTTTGTTCAAAGATTTCGGAGCCTGATGTTGAGCAGAAGACAGAAAAGAAAGCGAGAGTTTTTGGTTTGGTATACCTCATAGATGAGAATCCACCATGGCACATCAGTTTATTGTTGGGTTTCCAAGTAAGAGCAGTCAGAATAAGGTTTTTTATTTCCTACATTTACCTACATGACAAATTAAAGAGAGATGTTCTTTGTTATAGCTGATCCTTGCAGTATGTAGATGCTTGCACAATTAGGAAGACAAATAATGATCTTTTTGTCCACCCGTCAAGTTCTGTAGGAGGTGGAAACTAGAGCGCCGAGGTTGAGGGTTCGGCTCCTTGTGTAGTACTCAGAAATACACTTTGACCCATAATCTCACAAAACGAACATAATTTTTTTAGTCCACGCTGTTGAGCTAAAAGTTTGTCATCTTTCTCATTCTGTGGTAAAAACATTTGACACGAGTTTGGGAAAAGGAAGAACTTTAAGTCCTACCTCTGCCGAGGATTCAAGCCTCAGATCCTCTCTTCACCCGTAGCTCTACCTTCTAAGTGCAGAGACTAGGAACTTACGTTGTTCTCATGTATTAAACTTCCTGTATACTGGTTACTACAAAGTGATTAAGGAGCATAAGTGGTGCGGTCGTTAAAATGATTGTAAATGACCTTTCCTTACCTGACATCGCTTGTTCGTTTGCCTTTTGTTATTAGCATTATCTGGCCATGACTGGAGGAACATTGGCTACGCCCTTTATTCTCAGCATTCCAATGTGTTTCTCAAACAACACGCTTGTCATTAGCGAGGTTATGAGTACTACGTTCTTTGCCTGTGGCATTGTAACTCTCCTACAGAGTACATTTGGAGTTAGGTGAGAATGTTTAGATAATGTTCCCCTCTACACGTCACTCAAATACTAGTATGAATACACGAGGACGTCGCTACTTTAGGAACAAGAGATTATGTGCAGCTTAAGGTCACCTGTTTACAAAGTAAAGTAGCCATCAGAATTTGGAACATTTGATGGGCGTCTTTCCACATGACGAATTCTCGGTTGGTGATGGTAAAACTTAGAAGTAAACTTCAGCGATAAAGCTACTTTAGTTACACTTTTCTAGTCTGGGAGTTTGTCATTTTAACCATGACACTGTATCCTTACAGGCTCCCAATCGTTCAAGGTGGAACGTTCTCCTTTATCATTCCAACATTTGCCATCTTGTCTCAACCGCAGTGGATATGTCCCAAGCTTGAAGGTTTTTTATTCTTCTGTAATTGATGAAGTTAGGCTCATCTACGTTATCTGCGTTTTGTTTATTATTTCTATTCTGCGTGACGGCTGAATACTTACATTAGAAACATGTATTACTGAAGTAAACCTTCCTTAAGGAAATTCAGTAATCTTAGCACTCGTACAACACTGCGAAACAAACACTTATTATATCAAGTTAAACATAATGTCTTCACACAAACTAGGTGGCACATGATTACAATTACCACCAAACCTTGTCCTGGTTTTTACAGCGTATTGTAGGGCAAGGAGTGTATATGTCTCGTTTAATATCACAAAAAGTGTACAATGACCTCGCCTAGACTTGAGCCACGTCTTCTCGATCCCGAGTCCTGAGAGTCAGTAACTATTAAAAGGTCTGTGCTGAGTCTCTACAATAGAAATTGAAACTTTCTGCATGATACTCTCTAACTCTCTAAATCTGTGCTTCTTTTCATAGAAAATTTTAATTCAACCAGTAGCTCAATCATTAAAAATGATGACATTTGGAAACCTCGAATGAGAGAGGTAACGCTTCTCAAATCGTGTTTACCAACAAATGTGTAAAATAGTTTCATTTGACGTGTTCTTTGATTTCTCACACCAAATCACCGTTGAACATTTTCCAACAACTTCTTCAACGATTAAAAGTTCTATGCTTCGTTATTTTCAAGTTGAAAATTTATTTTTCCCAGATCCAAGGAGCCATTTTGGTTGCTTCCTTACTTGAAATGTTTATCGGCTTCTCTGGCCTCGTTGGTTATCTTCTTCGTTTCATCGGACCGCTGACCGTAGCGCCCACAATCACCTTGGTGGGTATGGCACTTTTCCCAGTAGCGATGGAACAATCGGGTGAGTTAATGAAAAATTACCTTTTTAATTCTGCCGAGAAAAGATTATATCCCCAGTTTAAGTTACTAACTTATTCTTTTTTGGTTGAATTTAAAGGATATCATTGGGGGATCTCAATGATGTAAGTTTTTATCACAAACAAATTCGACATAATGTCTTTCCATTGGTTAGGTCGTGTAATTCTTTGCATCACATCTTTTCGGTGTTGGTGGAGAAGAAAGTCAAAAATTAAAACTAGATATCAAAAAAATATAGATTTTAAGAATGAAATTGTCATTAAAGACCACTTCCTCATAGGAAATTATGCGCTAATGAAAATTATGAAAAATAATAAATGGTAATAAATTGGGTAAATCATGGGGTGCAACTCCGTCAATTTCTTCTTCGAGTAAAAATTTTTTTTTTCAGGTTTGCGCGAGTGTGTTTATCACTTTTCAATGAACTTACATTTATCTATGAGAGAAATGGAGTTTATATGCGTAGGTTAGACCGCTCTTCAAAACAAAAAGAAAACTATTAATAATAATAATAATAATAATAATAATAAGACTGACAAACCTAAGAGTAAGGTCTGTGAACATTTATCTTGGAATGTACTCATGTTAGTCTTTTTTGGTATACCAGGCTATTTGAATGCTTAGTGAGCATAAACTATTCAATATACAACAAACATTGAATTAAAGATTTTTGTGTTTATATTTTTCAGGACTATCGTGTTAATAGCTTTGTTTTCGCAATATCTTAAGAACGTCAAGGTACCATTTCCCGGGTACAACAAAGAACAAGGAGGTTGCTTCATGGGTCGCAGCGCCATATTCAGATTATTTCCAGTAAGTAAAGCTAGCCTATTGTCTATCGTATCCCTAAGAGAAGACCAGTGGCGCAAAATAGGAAAATTGCCTTGTAAAAGGAACACAATTTTATAACTCTCTTTAAACGTTTCTTGAAGTGTTAGGTTTGTGTGCATTTCCTTTAGGGCTATCTTCTTGAACCTGTGAAACTCCGAGACACGTTTGCTTTCAGCCCCTTCTCCTCCGGGGGCAGAGTATAACAGGGTAATTTAGTATTATCAACTGAGTTGATAACGTAAATTGGCCAACGTAAAGAGTTTTAAAGCTGACGTTTCGAGCGTTAGCCCTTCGTCGCTCTGACGAAGGGCCAACGCTCTTTGTATTATCAACTCAGTTGATAATACTAGATTACCCTGATAAATCCAGTAGTACCCTGTTTTACCTTGACATTGTTAGTATTTGGTTTTGGTTTTAAGACGTGCAGTAGAAAACCTGTCTAATGGCTTATCTAACTCGCCGTTGACTAGGTTATTCTAGCCATCGCAGTAGCATGGATTATTAGCGCCATCATCACCGCGGCCGGCGGCTTTCCTTCCGATCCCAGCGTACCTCAGTATAAGGCCAGAAGTGATGCCAGGATTGATGTCCTGAGAGAAGCTAAGTGGTTTAGAGTTCCGTATCCAGGTTACAAGCGAGTTATTATATTCATAGTCACTTTTTTTCTTGTGATCATAAAAATTCACCGACAATATCTTTAACTGCAATGATCCTTTTTCCTACTCTATTTCTATTCCGAAGTTCCGATATCATGATATAACATCCACAGATTGTTTTTTTTTTACTAATGTAAGAGTATGTCCATCTAAAGCAGAATTGAGTAATCAATCTCTTAACAATGTAAAGAGTAACTTCTCATTTCTAGTCACTAAAGCATCTTTGTGTTTCTAGGTCAATGGGGAACGCCCACAGTTAGTGCCGCAGGGGTCATCGGGATGTTTGCTGGTGTGATAGCTTCAATCATCGAGTCCATTGGAGATTACTACGCATGCGCCAGGATTTCAGGAGCTCCTCCACCGCCAAGCCATGCCATAAACCGTGGAATTGGGATGGAAGGAATTGGATGCCTTTTGACTTCAGCTTTTGGCACCGGAAATGGTACGACATCATATAGTGAAAATGTTGGAGCTATTGGCATCACGAAAGTAAGAGCGCTATAACTTTTGGATTTACTTTATGGCAAAAGCCGAAGACTATTTTCTTGTATGTTACCATGGAGTTAAGAACTATTCCTGTGGGAGACTGTTGTTTCAGTCGGTCGAATAAAATCCTTCAGTGCTTCCTAGATGAATCAACATTATGCGCTCCTATTAATCTAAACTGCCTTTTCTCAGACTCTGTATCCCCGAGTAAGAGGTCCAACATTATTGAACTGTTCATAACATTTGCCCATTGCGCCTTTTTTAATCACCTGCTGAGAGAGAGGAGAATCAAATGTTCTGAATAATAATTTTGATAAAATTGCATTGTGTGCTGGGGAATTTGCAATATCTCTTAATACACGCTTGAAGTTTGAAAATATTTTGTTTACTGGACCTTGCGACCTTACATGCAGTTTCAATTACTTTGAGTATGATTTTCACAAAGTAAAGCGCGTGATATAAAAATTCAAATTTTGAAAATGATTTCAGTTTCTTTATCATTGATTTTGCTTCTGTAGAAAAACAATTAGGAGAGCTGCTGAGGAAGAAATAAGAACGTTTGATAGAACTGTGGGAATTGAAGTAATAAACCTTGTTTTCACGGAATGATTCGATGGTTATCACGATTTCTATGTAGAAGTATTTCTATAATTTTCCGTCCTGTTAGGTTGGCAGTCTCCGTGTGATCCAGTATGGTGCAGTCGTAATGGTAGTTGTTGGAGTTTTTGGTAAAGTTGGCGCATTCTTCGTCTGCATCCCAGATCCTATTCTTGGTGGAGTGTTCATGGTTTTAGTTGGGATGATTACCGCTGTTGGAATCTCTAATGTACAGTATGCTGACATGAATTCGCCGAGGAATCTGTTCATTGTTGGATTTTCAATTACATTTGGTATGGCGCTGCCACTATATTTGCAAAACCATCCAAACGCAATCAAGACAGGTATGAGTCTTCGGTGTCATTATACCAAAACTGTTTCGTAAAAAAGAGTTGCGGTTATCGTGATGAATGCGCTTGTTATGCAGTGAACTTGTTATTTTTACGATGAAATCTTTTCCACAGTGGATCACGACGTATTGAATGTATTCTGCAAGTCTTCTTCTGGTGATAAAAGTCGCATCCAAGAATAGATGTCAACCATTCAAGAAGACGCCACAACCAGGGAAGAGCGCGACAGCGCACCGCTTAAAAATGCACCAATCGCAGTTGTCAAGCACCAGCAAATCAAGTCGACCTTATTGCCTGAAGAAGATTGTGCTTAAGGCATAATGTGCAGTCGACACGTAGCTATCCACAGTGATAAATTCATGTGTACCTTTTGATGTTAGAGATAAATATCACATGGTACCAGGAGCATATTTCTCGTTTAAAGGTTATGAAACCCATAAACGCCATGGCAAGTCCATGATAAAAAACTCCACACTAATATTACTATTTCTGTCAACAGGTTCTCCAGAATTTGACCAAATCATCTCAGTCCTTTTAAAAACAAGTATGGCAGTAGGTGGTATCGTTGCAATTATTTTGGATAACACCATCCCTGGAACTGATGAGGAACGCGGGCTTATGGCTTGGAGGCAAAGTGTTTCAGATGAGAATGGCGAACAGTTTCAAACAGCCTCTATTAAAATCTACGATCTGCCGTTTGGCCTCAATCGCCTCAGCAACTACAAATTTGCCAAGTATCTTCCCTTTTTACCAAATTCTGACGACAAAAATGAAATAAACGAAAATGTGGAATTGAAAGAAAAAAACGCGGGAGGGTTGGGTCGGGTCGCGTAATTAATTCTACGCGATCGCCCCAAACTTCCCTGTTTTTGCTCTGCCGCTGCTATCGCGCCGTGCACTATTTCGCTCTGTTGCACTAACTGGAGTAATGTCTTAAATCAGAATGCAAGTTCAGGAGAACGGGGGATAAGCCCAACAAGATGGGCTCCTTACTTGAACCTCGTCAGTTTCCGCTATGTCTTGATAATCTTTACAGAGCAGTTCATTTAGAACTGTGCCAGTTTTTGTTTCTGTTTTCATCTCAGTCTCTCTAGTAGCTCTACGACTTAAGAAAGGAAATATCTGCTTTTCATTTTAACAAGATGTTTGTTTCATACGCTTAATCAAAATAAAAGTTTTTGGTTTGTGAACTCCAATGCTCTTTTACATCATTGTGTTGGCAAATTGCATCGGCGGGATATTTACTCCAGAATAAAGTTTGTTCAGACCATAGTTTGGGCTGTTTCTTCTGAATGCGCTCTCAAACAAAATTGTGTAAGTAACACGTTTCCACTAAGGAAACAGGGGAAATTAACAAAGTTTTGGGCAGGAATGCTCACAACAGAGCAGAAATACAGAGAGAAAAGGCTGGTTTAATCAAAAAGGGTTTTGGTTTGTTATTATGTCAACTTTTCTCTTGAAAACCGTATTTACACTAAAAAGCGCCCTTCCCGATTTAGCGCCAGCCGGCAGGAAAGTGCTCTTTTACAAACCGCTGCTAAACCCCCTTAACTTGTCTCCGCTTTAAGAGAAGCACCCTGCAGGAGATGCGACACTTTGTTTGTAGGTACCGTGGTATGGTGTGCATTACTTTCCTCTCCCTTTGTTTGTTTTTGCGAATGGGCGTGTGAGCATGATCTGTCCATCGCGGGGTGAAAATGATAGATTTGGTTCCGGCGTAGAGAGAGACAAAATGGAAAATATATAATACACCTGTGGGGTGTGGCTGTGATGTCAAAATGATCATGATGTGGTAAAGAAGCCATAGGAAGCCTCGAAAGCGACATTAGTAAAAATGTCAGGTCTTTATCAGAAAAGGTCATTTTTGCATTTAATACAAAAAGGGATAAGTATCTCTGAGCCCCATCAAAGAGACACTGTCTTCAATAGGATAAATTAATTATATTATTATAAATAAGTAAAGGAGTAAGTTACTGAAGAAACCGTGGTGCTGCGTCGCTAAGGGGATACACAAGATAATTTGGTTTTATGTACTGAGGTGATAATACAAATAGGCCTCTGTAAAGAGTTTCTCAAGCTGATATTTGGAGGGTTAGCCCTTTGACAGAGCGTCAGCTATAACAAATCTTAACAGTGGCTGATTTGTATAAGCAACAAATTATTTTATTCAAATGTTGGTTACAATTTTCAACCATTTTCGATAGGTCACCGAGTGTTGTTCTCTCCCTGGAAGTAAGTAAGATAATTTTCCTGATTGAAGTACTTGTAACGCTGAACACTGACCGTTAAAAGTGTCTAGGCTTTTAAATCAAGGAACGAGAAAGCTTTTTGTGACCTTGTAATCAAAGGATAAGATAACAACCTTGAATTTTTAATGTATAAAGCTTTATTTTCACTGGAAAGTGACGTCAATAGGTGCTGGTATGTATATGAGAGTCGATCTCGTAAAGCAACCTGCTAAAATCAAGCTAAAAGTAAAACTTATTTTCACTTGAACTAGCTTTTACCTAGCAGTCATGAATTTGATTCTATAGTAAAACCTGATTATAGAGGCTGAATTGTTATTTCTTCGGAATCTTTTCTTAATGTTTGGTGCAGTATTATATGTATCAAAAAGTACAGAAGTGACACTTCTATAATTTAAAGCATTAGAGCATACCTAACGGTTACTTCATGACATACTAAGCCATACTTTAACTACACTCTTCCCTCTAAAGATTTGAAGTAGAATATTCTAACTCCATATCATATACGTTGTTTGGTTCACTATGGTTGTACGGTAAAAAAGGTATATATTTTGCCGCTTTGCAGTCACCAAGACGTTTTAGACAAAACGGCAGATCATAGACTCTTATTGAGGCTGTTTGAGAGTTTCCATCGTTTTCAGCTGAAAGATCACACCTCCAAGACTTAAGCCCGCGTTCCTCTAAAGTTCCAGGGATGGTGTTGTCTAAAATCAAAGCAGCAATACATCCTACTGCCATGCTTGTTTTCATCAGGACTGTCAGGATCTGGTCAATTTCGGTAACACCTGAGAGGAAGTCAACATGCACACTTTGTAAAACCACTCAGTTACAGATAGAGGTTAGACTTTTACTGATTTGATTTCTCTAACAGCAGTATTCAAGGTAAATTTTGAGATGCTACTGAGTCAGCTATAGGCCAATTACACTTAAAATGTGCAGGTTTGGGTAATATTTGATAAATCAGAATTCAATGTCTTTGGAATGAAACGCACTTGCTTTGAGCGAAAAAAAGAAAAAAACTTTTATAATGACGAATACCTGTGTCAATAGCGTTGGGATGGTTTTCCATATAGTGAGGCAGAGCTAAACCAAATACGATGGAAAATCCGACGATGAACAGGTTCCTGGAGGAATTCATGTCAGCAAACTGCAGATTTGAGATTCCAACGGCAGCGATCATTCCAAACATGACCATAAAAACTCCACCAACGATTGGGTCTGGGATGCTGACGAACAAAGCTCCAACTTTACCAACAACGCCAATGATCATGACAATTATCGCACCATACTGAATCACTCGGCGACTTCCAACCTTGGAAAGTTAGGTGAAATAAGTATTAAGTTTTTGAAAACTTAAGCTTAGGAATAGACTATTAACAAAATAAGTGTGTCGTGAAAACAAGACAAGGGTACATGTGGGAGACCATTTCCAAATTATTTCCAGCCTCGTGTTAAGAGAGTCTAAGAGCTGCATTTTATCAGCAACCGATTTGAGGCTACCGCCACCTTGTTAGCTCAGGTTATAGAACGTCGGATTGCCGTGCAGTAGGTCGAGACTTCGAGCCCTGGCTGACCGGACCGACACTCAGGGTCTTAAAATAACTAGGAGAATGCGCTGCCCTTGCTACGACGTCTGCAAACAGTTATAATGACTAGTCTTCCCAAAAAAAGGGACGATAAACCGCATGCCTCGTCTCCCGTTTCCTCTTTGGATAGCTGGGGACGTTTAAGAACCCACGCAGGAGGTAACGTAGCTTCCAGTGTTGTGGCCTAGCATTGTTTCCAAAAATTCCCAATTCACTTACAAAAATCGTAAAATGCTCGATGCAATCTGGCCCAAGTCCCCCGGAAGGTGTTGTAAAGAGCATTAAGGTATATACCTATGGAGAACGCGCTACATAAATGCATTAGTATCACTATTAACACTTTATTTGATTAACTTTTTGTCTCTTAGAAGAGAGGATTCTTGGTCGCTTGTCTCTCAGTCATAACCTAAAAACACATTTACACTCCATCGTGTTGGGTGGTACAAGAGCGAGACGAACTGTTGCCTTTGATACCTTAGTGATTCCTATAGCCCCGATGTTTTCACTGTATGATGTTGTTCCATTCCCGGTACCAAACGCTCCAGCCAAAAGACATCCAAGTCCTTCTATTCCGATTCCACGGTTGATAGCGTGTTCTGGCGGTGGTGGTGCTCCTGCCAATCTCGCACATGCATAGTAATCACCCACGGACTCAATAATGGAGGCCAAAACTCCAGCAAGTATCCCAAAAACCCCTGCGAGACTGACAGTAGGCATTCCCCACTGACCTGAAGAGAGGTGGACATTCATGAGGATTTTAGATACAATATAACTGACTGAAAATATTCAAAAGAAAAAATTACACTCCCAGTCTGCCTCGATTAGCGCTGCAACCTGCGGTTCCGGGTGATTATGACCCAATCAAGGCACCAATAAAATCTTTGTTGTGGTGTTGTTACATTTGGTTAAGAGCATAATAAAAACAAACAAACAACAAACACAAGAAAAAGGCCGTTAGAAAATAGGCTCATATGAATCAATAAAGGGGGTAAGTTTCTAAAGAAACTGTGGTGCTGCGTTGGTGAGAGAGCATAACAAGGAAATTTGGATCAATATCAGTATCTGGGCAACTGCCCACCTACCCCTCCCCTAACCCAACATTAACCTCAACTTGCTGTCAATTGACTGTTGTTGAGTTAGGGGAGGGGTAGGTGGGCAGTTGCCCAGATACCGATATTGATCCGGTTATTTGGTATTATCAACTAAGTTGATAACATAAATTATCAACTGTAAAGAGTTTCAAAGCTGACGTTTTGAGCGTTAGCCCTTCGTCAGAGTGAATGACGAAGGGCTTCTATTACAGGTTATTTTTCTCACATGGAAAAATGGCAATTTTTTTCTGACTCACTGCGCTTTTGAAGCCGAATCGCTTTACTATACTAATAGATACCCACCAAACTATACCAATAATTGTCTAACGGAAGAATGGGCAGCTATTTGACGAAAGCAATTCATTTCTGATTTTTTACCCCTTTTTAAGAAAACCATATTTTGGGGGGGTCCAATAGCTAAGAAGCTACTTCTACGTAGATCTATGCGCATAAAAAGAGGTGGGTAAAGTCTGATTTCGAGCAGACCAACCCTCCAGCTGAATCTTATCCCAGTTTCTGTAGCATAAGGGACCAGGAATGTTGCCACTCCCTTTGGACTGGTGCTGGTCCAGCGTAAGCACCATTTATACTCCTTGATAGAGAAAGGCACTTAAAGAGTAAAGCGTGTTTTTCGAGAGCAAGATGCAATAACTTGGCCAGCTCTCGAGCCCGGTGGTGACTCGATCTCATTATCCATGCGCATAAACGTGTAAGGAAACTTTCCCCACCTGGGTAAGGAAATCTGAGCCACTTTGCTTCCTTTAACACAGCAATTCTTGCATCCGTTCTTGCCTTGTACTGAGGATTCATAGGATCAGAAGGGAACCCTCCGGCCACGGTGATGATAGCGCATAGAGCCCAAGATACTGCAATCGCTAGAATGATCTGAAAGATACACAGTGAAGAAAGTTAGCAAGATATTATAATCTCCTGAAGAAAGCTTGTACTAATGACGAAGTTACCGCTGTCAGTAATCGTAATTACTAAATGAAACAGAAATTAATAAAAGACTAATAAAGCTAATAATCCTATTATCAAAGGTGGGAATGTTAAACCTCTTCTGTACTTACTGGAAATAAGCGGAACAAAGGGAAATGGCCAATCCTCAGACCACCCCTGTAAGCGGGAACTGGAACCTTAACATTTGTGAGGTATTGTGAAAACACAGCTATGAACACAATAGTCCTAAGACAACAGAAAAAGAAGAGAACATCTTAACACGATTGAAGTGAAAACGGACAGACTGAATGAGAGGGATTGCGAGCACGAAGGAAATAAATGAACGGACCGCAGATACGTACGTCATGGAGATT